TTTAGGGCCTCTGGATGCTCCATCATGCTTCTCGAGAGCCGTCCCAACATATTCTGTAATATATATGATTTCATTAAAAACTGCCTTCTTCAAACAACTTTGTACTATTGCCTCATTACCATTTTCGTTTCATTTTCTTAGTTTTGCATGTTCTTTTCCAATTCGTAGTAAAATCCCTTAAATATTGTAAATATTTTTCATCCCGAATGTATGTTTTTTTCTTTAAATACTAAAAATTTTTTAACCATCACTTGACATTTTAGCTGCTGTTTGTTGATGTCTGTTGGGTTAAACACTAAATTTTATTGATTTTTTGAGCTGATAATGCATACTGTTCCTATATGATCTGACCTTTTATGCTCGATATTCATGTCATAATTCAAGTAAGCTACGAGACACTTGTTGTGTCGGTTACTATTTTAAAGTCGTATAGCTTATTCTAGCTTCTGGACTAGCCAATTTATTCATTCATCTTAAGTCACATTTTGACCTTGTTAATTATTCGCCTATCAACCTTGACTGTTTTTATACAAGCGTATGTGTATGCATTTCTTATCTTACTCATCACATGTCTTATTTTTATCTGACCACAAATATCGATTAATGTCTGATTAATTCGAGTTGGCTCACACGCCTTCTCCACTGCACATCATTTCACTTTGCTTCGTCCTTCGGATTATCTGTCCAGGTCAATAAGTGTACAAAATATATGTATTCAAAAACCCATTATTGTATTTGGCTTGTTTAATCCTGTTATTCACTAACTCGAATTAAGTCGATAATTATGTACGAGGATTGGCGACATGTTTATCTCAATGGTAATCAGAAACAATCCAACTGGAGTCAAATATAAGGCCTTCAAACATTTCTGATTATACCATTTGTTACATAGATTACGAATTGGTATATGCTGAAATCGTTTTGTACTTTAAAGCCATACGTTTTGTGATATTTAGGAGATTAAACAACTCATTAGTAAGTAAATTTGTCATACAAATCGAATTATTTTGATCTATGTGGAAGTTACGTACTTTAAGTCATTGCGTTTGTTTTTATTTTCCGATCATCATGAAGTTCATATTTGGTGTTGTACAATTTTTGATTATTTTGTTCTGACCGTCTATGATATATATATATCACATCCAAAAGCTATTTCTTCTGTATAACAAGCCCCCAAATGCCCTGGTATGGCCGAGAGCGGGGAGGGTTTGCCCTCCCTCTCGAAATACTCTCACACGGCCACGCGTATACAGCCTCTGCCAGGGAAGTTCTACTCACTGCCTTCTCGTGGCGGGGGTGTTGTTTACGAAAATGAGAGGACGAAAAGCGAATGTCCGGCGCTATAACCGGATCCCAATTCTATGGTGCACATGGGCTCCAGTATCCTGCGGGAACAAATGGCGTATGAACCAACTTTTGGTCACCGGCTTCCATGGGACTGCATCTCCTCACGATGCTCCACTGCCTTGTGGACTAGACCTTTAGGTCAAAGGCTCGGGGTGTGGCCCCCTAAGAAAACCACCTGCTTCGGTCTGGGCACCCGGGCAGTATCCCAGCCCACTCACTAAAACTATGATGAACAATTTGCTTATGGAAAATATTCCTTTCTATCTGATTAACATAGAAATAACTCGTACTATTATTATTATTATTATTACTATTATTACTCTACCACGTCATTTATTCACCCTCTCTTATTCCTACTTTATATATGTGTTTCGACCTAGACAGCAGCTCACCTATGGTGAAAATTCAGCTTTATCTAAACGTGCCCGAGTCACTGCCTGGTTGAAAATTGTATGTTACTACCGAACATGAGTACTGAAGCAGTTTTTCTGAAACCACGTGCACCATTCAAACTGGCTACCTTCAACGTTCGCACACTTATGCAGGTCGGACAACAGATAGGACTGGCTATGTCTTTGGAAAGTCTTAATATTGATGTGTGTTGTCTATCCGAGACCCGTATTCAAGACTCTGATGAAGTACTACAAGTTCGCTCTCCATCTGTCACTTCAAAAAGCTTGTTTTATGTGCGTTTATCCGGGGACCCTGTGGCATCTTCGTCTGGTCTTGCTGGCGTTGGTGTCGCACTAAGCGCAAGAGCTGAGGCAGCACTAGTCGACTGGATCCCCATTAACAGTCGGTTATGTGCTGTTAGATTAGAAAGTTCCATCAAAGTGAGAAGAAATCGGCGTGAGAAACGATGTCTTTTCGTCATCTCCGCCCGGATGCAATCAAGGAAGAGTTCTACCATCAGCTAACTGTTCTTCTCCAGAAAGTGCGTTCGACAGATATTGTAGTACTAGCTGGAGACTTGAATGCTCAGGTCGGGCGTCTAGGCACAGAAGAGAGTCGTTTAGGTGGCCGATGGGGACTCGTTGGTCGCAGGACAGATAACGGGGAACGTCTACTGCAACTATGCACAGACCACAACCTGTTTCTGGCTAGCACTAACTTTCGGCACAGTCATCGCCTATGTGCCACCTGGCGTCCTCCTTCTGCATCTCAAGCCTGGACTCAGATTGATCACATCGCGATCAGCTACCGCTGGCGCGGTTGTGTACAAGACTGCCGCTCCTTTTGGAGTACCTATCTGGAATCTGATCATGCTCTGGTCTGCGCCAATCTTACCTTACTTTTCAGTGGACAACGAAGTGACCGCCACAAAAGGATTGATGTTAGCAAGCTGGCTGCAACTTCTGTTGCTAGTAAATACCGAACCGAGCTAGCTTCTAGGCTAGCTACCATTCCACCGAAAAGTATAGATGAGCATTGGTTGCAATTGCATGACGCCATGAAAATGGCGGGTAAAGTCTGTTGTGGGTTTGCGAAACGTCCCGCTTACAAGCACTGGGTTTCTTCTGGTTCCTTACAACTGATTGAAGCCCGTCGGTCTACTCTGGGTGACCGTGAGTTTGACCACAGACGAAGGATGTTACGTAATGAAATCGGGCAAAGCTTGCGTAAGGACCGAGAAGCCTGGTGGTCGGAGCGTGCCAGTGAGTTGGAAGAAGCAGCTGCATCTGGTAATTACCGGAAGCTCTTCCAACTCATCCGAGCCACTGGCAGCAAGAAGTTTGGTGTGAGCGAAACAATCTGCGAGGATGACGGAACGCCAATCACTAACATCCATCGACGTCTTGGACGATGGGCAGAATTCTTTGAAGGGCAGTTCAACTGGCCTGCTTCTCCGGCAACATCGGTCAGACTGTTCTGCCCTCCATGGCCGGTGACGACTGATCCACCAAATGAGGCGGAAGTCCGCAAGGAACTCCAACTCTTGAAACGTTACAATGAGTCGATAGTTGTCCCTATCTTTAAAAAGGGTTCACGTTTTTCCTGTAACAACTATCGGGGGATAAGTCTACTTCCGATTGCGTCCAAGCTATTGGCTTCCGTCATACTTCGTAGGTTGTTCAGGACCCGAGAAGGATTGACTCGCGAGGAGCAGGCTGGGTTTCGTTCTGGTCGAGGATGTATTGATCATATCTTCACCCTCCGCCAAGTGTTAGAACACCGCCATACTTATCAAAGGCCAACAATCGTAGTGTTTCTTGATATCAGGGCTGCCTTCGATTCGTTGGACAGAACTGTTCTCTGGGATTGTCTATTGAAGAAGGGTGTGCCTGAGAAGTTTATTAACATCCTAAAAGCCCTATACACAAACACCTCAGGCAGAGTGAGGGCATACAACCACCTTTCTCCGTTATTCCATTCGAGCAGTGGAGTTAGGCAGGGTTGCCCAATCTCACCATTCCTCTTCAACTTTGCCATCGATGACATTCTGGAAACAGCTCTGATGGATGTAAGTAATGGTGGTGTGGATCTGTTGCCTGGAGAAAGACTTCTCGACCTTGAGTATGCGGATGATATTGTCTTACTGTGCGAGAATGCCCAAGCTATGCAATCCGCACTTAATCAGTTGGCAATCAATGTCCGTAGGTATGGTATGTGCTTTGCACCTTCGAAGTGCAAAGTACTTCTACAAGACTGGCAGGATTCTAATCCTGTACTCACTCTGGATGGTGAGCAGATTGAAGTAGTCGAGAAGTTCGTGTATCTAGGTAGCTGCATAAGTGCTGGTGGTGGTGTGAGTGATGAGATCAATGCTCGTATAGTGAAAGCCAGAGCGGCTTATGCCAATCTGGGCCACCTTTGGCGCCTTCGTGATGTTAGTCTGGCTGTAAAAGGTCGGATCTACAACGCGACGGTGAGAGCAGTTTTGCTCTATGCTTGTGAAACCTGGCCTCTCCGAGTTGAGGATGTTAGACGACTCTCTGTGTTCGATCATCGTTGTCTCCGAAGGATTGCTGGCATCCAGTGGCAACACCATGTCAGTAATGCAGAGGTTCGGCATCGAGTGTTCGGTCACAGAGACGATAATGAAATTGGTGTCACCATCTTGAAACACCGACTTCGGTGGCTTGGACATGTTCTACGAATGTCGTCCCAGAGAATTCCACGTCGTGCATTATTTGCCGACTCTGGGACTGTTTGGAAAAAGCGGAGAGGTGGTCAGTATATGACATGGTGTCGTGGTATGAAAGAAAGCTGCAAAGGGCTAGCTTCTGTTGGTCCTTCATGACTCCCTGGTTGGGGTCCGAGAGACGGTGTAACGCAGTGGCTAGAGACGTTATCAGATATGGCTAAGAATAGAAGCCAGTGGCGATCGTGCTGTAACCTCTTACTTTCTTCATAAAAAGTGTTTATATCTTCCTTAACTGAAAGATCTCTTCTGATTGTACCTTTCCGTTTCCCCCACCATTGTTCTCTCTCTCTCCCTTTTTTTTTTATAATTCCCCACGTTCATTACCTTTTTTTTTCTTTCCTCCTTCTCTTCAAATTATCATTGTTTTGTGTGGCGCATATATATTTGGTGCCCCTCTGTACCAATATTTATGTGTTCAAATAAATAAATAAATCTGTATAACAAATGTTAGTATTCGAGTTTATTATAGGGTATTAGTTATTTTGTGTTGCTTTTCATTAACTTTCAGTTCAGCGTTCGAGACTTCTCGGGGAAGCAAGCGAGTTGGAAGACTGTGGTCCTGGACATTCTTTTTGGTCTTATTTATTCGGAAATCCAACATCATCCAAACATCAAATTTGTGGTCGAAACGATGATCTACCCATAACAGAACTTCAGCTTTTTGATGACATCGAAAGAGATTTAATGCTCACTCTGTCACCTAACTCAACAGATTCTAAATACTATTCGAAGTTCAATGAATCCAAAGGCCCTTTTCATGTAACTTGGCCACCTGTGATAGAATTATCTTAAAGTATCATCTAATGAAGTTTACTACTACAATTTTTCATCTTTCATGAGGTGGTTCATGTCACCGTATGTTTAAGGTGATACTTCGTTTTGAACCATTTCACTGTGTATGTGATACTCTCATTTCCCATTAGGAATTACTATTATCCAGTTTTAACCCAAGTGCTAATACATTCATTTATCTATGTTCTAATAGTATTTTCTTATGTGACATTCAATGATAATATTACACTTGTGATTCGTTTTATTCGTGATTTAATTTTTGGGTGGATGGTTAATTGTAATATGTGTAATTTATGTTTTCATTTGTCTCCTGTTTATATATAAACAACTGTGTATATGTGACCTTTTTGGGTATGCTCCTGACTTTCTATATTCTTTATTCCTTATTTTTGTGGTTTACTTCTATGGGAGACATGAATCGTACTTGTAAACTTATTTAATAGCATGACTTTCATCCACTTAAATTTTTAACTCCATAATATAATTGTACTTTTTCATCAATCCACTGTGTGGATTTGAGTTTTTGAAACAAATCGGTCGTGTCCATTTTCAAAAAAATAAATGGTATTCAACTTAATAATATTTTCGCTGTCAGATTTTGTATATGTTTATTTTTGCATTTACCTTATGGAGTAATAATTCTTTTGTATTATTATTTACTAACATATATTATTCTTTTTTCTGTGTGAAAGAAAACAAATGAAACTTTGTTGTGCTACGCTTTTCGCACATATACATCAAGCTCTGTTAGTCTTTTACCCACTTCTTCGTAATTGCTTTAATTTCCGGTTGGTTGATTTAAAATAAATTCTGTCAGGACACTAAGATTTTTAGCTTATAAAAATGGTTAATTTCCTATTCGTACGAAATTAAATTTTGAGGTTAATGACCAAGTCGGTGTTGGAATTTCACATTTTTGTGTGCAAAATTTAAAAACTTAAAAATCAACTGTTTTGTTGTTTTCGAATGAATAACTACGTTATGTTAATGGTCAGTTCACTCTCATATGGGATTTCTATACGAACACTGAAGACCAGGGTTTTTTTGTACAATCCCTTTCTTCATTAGTACATTCTAATACTCAAGTAAAGAGGACGTCACTTAGCTGTAGGATATCAGTGGAAACTTTGTTAGAGTCTGTTCACTTTGGCTTTAGTGGTACTGAAGGCAACCTATCTCAGATCTTTTTCTTACAATTCGGGTTCTTAACACAATATAGCCTGACCTATTATCAAGGTTGGTCTTCCACAATCACTCAGGTTCCGAGGGTGTAGGATTTAATATTTATTTTCTGGTGTTTTTGGTAAGTTGTTTGCCCTTTTATATCATTTAACTAGGAGTGATTTTTGAGGTCTAAACGAATCTGTCATCGCTTTTACCATTTACGAAGTCGAACGAACTATTAAGTCACCAAACTATTCCAACTTTTAATAATTGAACAACCGGGTTCATATATGGAAAACACTATAATTAATACTCACTTCCTGTCATGCCAACTGGTTAGAGAAGGATTGTTGAAATTTTGTTTAATAACGGTTAAGTGAACGGGCGAACTCACAATTATAGAGAGATTAAATGAATTATCGAATATTGCACGCAGTATTTAAATATATGCGATAATGAGTAAATGTTGGGAGTTTTCAATATGAATGATTGAATATGTTGAGATTAGTCGAAACGTTTGGTAGCTTAGACACTCAGAGAAATATCTATTGGTTTCTTATTCGCCTTTTCATCTTTAATATATCCATCCTGCAAACGTTTTGTCGTTATAAAAGGGACAGAGAAACGTTTGTTCCTAATTTTTGGAGTAAACACCTAATTTATCGTTATTTTCAAGAAAATATGAACAAGCCCTAACCAAATTTTACAGTTGAGTTGATATTTTGTTATTTTTTCAATATCTTTGGAGCGTTTCTTTGTTACTGAGTAGATCAACTTTTTAGAACTATAATATGTGCGACTCGTCGCTCGCAGCAACAGAGAAACAAATTTACGTACATAAGAGTATGAATAAAGTAAGTGAAGCTCGGATGTTATATATAAAAGTGAGCGCTCTTTATTAAGGTTGCGTTGCGACAAGCAACCAGTGGTCAAGAATAAAATTAGGCGAAGCACAGTGTTGTTTGCATCAAGAAGTAGTGCAGTAAATGTAAAACCCATCAGCTAAAGGCTTCAACGTTGGCACATTATCCTATGCCTATTGATAGTGTTCACCAGGTGACAAATTTAATAGACTTCTAGCAAACAATTATAAACCTTTCTGAAATATCAAAGGCGTATTATCAGATCTAAATCGGCTACTGTGAAAACCCAAGGGAATTATCTTCTAAACCGCAAACCTAATGTCAACATTCACAGCCTAAACGTAGCGACTTCGGTTTTCTTGGCAGCTTGAAGTGTAACTGGGGAAGTTTTTTGATCTAGCACACTTATGTTCCGAGGAATGATACTAAGAAGTACAGTCCTGAATTTCTCTCTTCAACATAAGACAAGTAACTGTTTGGGTAATTCTCCTCGGTCATCGTGACCTATGAATGGGTTGTTCGTTTCCTATATTCTTCGGAATCTGTCTAGGCCAGGTTCATCTTTGTTTGTATCTGGTTCATTTGACACCAGACGTCCAGTGATTCCAACAAAACTATCCACATTGTTCAGGCCTTTGTGACCTGCTCTATGATTTGTATTGTGATCGTTGCGGCGATCTTCTCTTGTTTCTATGATCTATCCAAATGAATGGATCTTCATCATGATCCATGACTCGGTCTACAGAGTGAGAAACAACGCCTATACACTGCTTACAGTAAAACACCGAAAATATTTGTTCCAACATAAACAACCACATTACCGACCATCTAACAAAATGCTCTATCCTTCATAGAAGTTCATGTAAGGTAACGTAAACAGGAATATGTAAACCCGTATAAAGTATCAAGCCATTAATTCGTTTATTTACTGCGAACTCTTCATTCTGATTCCAAATTGAAAGATTATTAGACTCTTTCAGTTCCTTTAGGAGATGGATAAACATAACACATGGTTTAAGGCACAATTGCATATTCACACACGAACAGCTATTCAAGTCCACAGAACATAATGCCCTTTTTCCCATGATCATTGGCCACAAATTAAACCGTATGAACCATTGCTTCGTAGTGTTGCCACGTAAATCCAATATAAACATCAGATCTCTTGTGAATACAAATGAGTTGTCAACCACTTTTCCGTAAGTTTCATTACGAGACCCATCAACTCTATCATTGTATTGCCGTTTATTAAGTGAATTTTCCAAAAACAATTCCTAGTTTATTTCCAATGTTACAGAAACTTTTGATTCAAGCGAACGATGTTTACCAATATGGTCTGCATCCTTGAACTCAACTATATAATCTTTCTAGATCCGGCGAAACATCATGAGAATGACAACGCTGTGCTGGATTTACGGACCTATAGGACTCCTTAGACTTGAAGCCATCCAACCTAGAGGCGTACGCACACCAAACGGATGTTCCCGGTCTCCCAGACGATGTTCCAGAAGCCAATGTACGTCTGGAGTGTCACACCCAATCAAAAGTCCTACCAGATTACTTTGCATCGTCGGAAGGGTGATGTTTTTCAAATGCTTCCACGATCCCAGTTGTTCCTTGGTTAAAGATTCTACATAATCTATCGGGAACTCTTTAGTCGTATAGGCCTTATTGATCTTCACAGAACCCTGTTCATCTAATCAAAATATCTCTAAATTTACTTCCAGACATTCACAAGTAGTAGTTCCATTCACTGTCGTCACTTTTATCGAAATCTCCTTACCTTTGAGACCGAACTGATTAATTAACTCTTCACATACAAGAGAAGTGTCTGAACCACTATCCAAAAGGGCAAGTTTCTAAAGTTCCCTTCGGACTATTCAATCTGATCGGAATGATACCCAAACAAACCTTCGACGAGTTCCAATCCTTAACTAAGTTCACTGCATGGTTATTAATACCATCAATATTTAGCAATGAATTATGCTGAATCTTGAAATTATCAACGTCACACTTGATGTTCGAGTTTCATGACTTGGCTATGTGACCCTTCCTTAAACACAGGTAACATAGGCCATGACTTCTTACTTCGTGTCTCCTTTCTGCAACATTCCTTTTCAATAACTTCGTACAATCTGTCTCTTTGTGATCTATCAAAGCAAGCTTCGCAACTTAGAGCCTTGAATGAGCTGCTTGGTTCCCGCTTAACTACATTAAAGCGTGATCTCTTATCAACTTGGCCTTCATAATTGCTTTTGCGGAACTTTAAGTTACAATGTACCAATCTACCAAAACGTGTTCGAGCAAACCTGGCTCTTTCTTCTACAAACATCACCAATTCTTCAAAGATCAGGTCAATCCCGGCAATCATGATCTTATCAGCAACTTCCTCCCACTTGTTCTGTAGTTCTAGTGGTTAACATGATACAATTATTTCCAAATTAGCCGTAGAATTCACATCAGACAAATACCCTATTTATTTCAATGTTATGCATACATTACGTAGCTTAATCGCGAAGTCAGTTAAGTCGTCGACTGACCCTTTAACAGATTTGAGGCTAAGTAATTAAAATAATTAGGAGTAATTGAATCATGGTATGAACTAAGAATCCCAGAGATAACGCAATTGAAACAAGAAGTACTACACAAGCACTAACGAATGTACTGTATTTAGAATTCGAAATCAAACATTCAACAAGTACAAAGGAGTTATTAGTTCATTCAAACACCACATCCGCCACAGCTCAAATTCAGTCAGTCAGTCAGTAACAACGTGGAACTTCGTACGTACGTACATCAGTTCGAGTTGCCATACCACATTAGCACAGAGATTCAGTTATCGATTCAAATCCCATAGTGGTAGAGGTACTGAAAGTATAAGTAGAGATAGGGGACATTGAGGTTTGATGATGTTATTAAAGGAGTATAGTCCAGTGGAACAGATTTAGAAAGAAAATAAAGGAAATGAAGTATTCAGAAGATTAGAGTTTGAGAGAACACAAAGAGTGGATGCATCTGCGTCATTGCAAACGATTTTGAGCAATGTCATTCAACGTCTCTAACCATCGGTCGCTATCATCACGCTGTCCCCAACCAAGTAGCCTACATCTACCAACATGGCTCAGTCCACTTGTCAGTGACTTCATGGATTTGTGCCATGTTTTGGTCTGGCCGCCCCTAGCTTTCTTCCATCCTACTCCTACACCATAAAACATCGCACGTCGTGCATGCGCAACACATGTCCCAGCCATCTCGAATGATTAAGTTTCACTACTTCCTCAATTGATTTGCCATCCTTACCTAGTATCCGTTTCCTAACAACTGAGTTGCTTACTCAGTGGTCCCAGGATATACGAGCAATGTTTTGAAGACACCTATGATCAAATACTAGTAACCTACGAATATCCTCTACTCTTACTGGCCATGTTTCACTGCCATAAAGTAGGACGGAACGAACTGCTGCGCAGTAAACACGTCCTTTGGTTGAGAGGCGGATATCTCGCCTACACCACAAATGACGCAAGTTGGCAAAAGCTGGTCGAGCCCTTTGTATCCGTGCTGAGATTTCGTCACACACCAAGCCACAAGGGCTGATGAGACTTCCAAGATAAGTGAAGCGGTCGACACGCTCAACTACTTCACTCCCTATCACTAGTTCGGGTGTCGATGCACCCCAATCCTGAAGCAACATTTTGCGTTTCGAGGGAGAAAATCGCATGCCGAACATGCTTGCATTGTTGCTTAGAGTGGTCAGCAAACTCTGAATTTTATCAGCGTCTTCACTAAATAGAACTATGTCATCGGCATACTCTAAGTCAACAAGTGAATCTTTCGGTAGAAGTTCAAGCCCTGGAAAGTCAGATGTGGAAGGTGTTATTTCTAAAAGCACGTCAACGACAACGTTAAACAAGAATGGAGAGA